ATACCCCTGGTTATCTGTATATAAGCATGGGGTCCTGTCTTCCTCTCTCTCTCTTCCTTCTCCACTCTCTCTTCCTTCTCCTCTCTCTTCCTTCTCCTCTCATTCTCCCTCTCTTCTCACTTCTTTTCTCTCTACTAGCATATCTCTTAACCTTTTACTATCTTCTATCCTTCCAGTCTCTTGCTCTGCTTTATAAATACTCTTATCTCAGAAGTCAATCACCTACCTGCTCTAACTTCGCTACTCAGCGCGGCATACAATCCATCCGATCGGTTATGAGCCTTAGGGCTGAGAGTTTTGTGTACTCGGCGTACGGTGACAGTACCGGAAGTTAGTCCCAACCGTCGGCGTGACCGACTGCCGCGGCCAGGCGGCCCAAGCGGCCGGGCCGGGCCGGCCGAGTCACTGAACTTCGGAATCCTCTGCATCCGGGCTCGCCTCAGAGACTAGTCGCATTTTCAACGCCGCCAGCAACGGTTGGAAGTGGGCGGGCCGACATGGACGAGAGGCTCGGATGGCTGCGGCTGATAGTATGCAGCAATCTTTGCGTGAGCGAGTCAATATTCGAGGAGCTTGCGCAGAGACAAGATGGGCAAGGGCGAGAGTATTCAGAAAGAATGAAAGAATTTTTCGATTCAAAAGGAGATGCGACCTTCGATGCAGCATTGATTTTCTATGCGGTGGAGGAGGAAACCAAGGTTCATCAGCAAGAAGGTAAAACCTGTTCATATCAGAGGGAGTTTTCTTTTAATCTTGAGTTGCAGAGGATGTATCCAAGGAATCCAAACAAAGTTCTCCTGATTTAAAGAACTTACAGCTTGATGATAATCAAGTTCCTCCCCCTGAGAATGAAGACAAGGATGATGAAAATGACCAGAAGCATGATGAGGAAACGGACCATCGTTCGACATCTCCAGATGAGGATCGGACCAACGGTCAAATGCAAGCTTATAAAGGCGTGGAGATCACCACCACGACGACAAGCCGTAAGATGGTACTTCAGTGCATGACAGGCGGTTACCCCACAGCTCCCCCAGACACAAGGATTCTGTATTTCATCAAAGGAAATGGCACAATCAAGACTTTAAAAGACTTGGAAGAGAATGTTGACTTTGGTCTTTTGTGTGCACCAACGTTGATAATGCTGGAGCAAATCCTTTCCAAAGTGTACCTGCCGATCCTAGAGAAAGACACAGCAGCTGCAGACAAATCTATGCATCAAGACGTAGAAATGGAACTAATGCATAGTCTTCAGAAATTCTTATCACAAGTCAACCATGCTGTCTTACAGGTGGCAGGTGAAGTCAAACTGAATCTGCCGAGCGTCAGCTTTGAAGATGAAGCATTGATAAGCAATAATCCTTCCCTTGTCGGCGATTTAGAATCGACTGTTATGGATTGGTCGAGTCAAATTCAAAAGCTCGTTGAAGCAGAAATGGCAAAGGTTCCGGTAGGCAAGGGACCACTCGCTGAAGTTGAGTTCTGGAGGTCACGAAATGCATCACTTTCTACTTTATACGAGCAACTGAACCTTCCGAATGTGAAGAAAGTGATTCAAATTCTTGAGAACATGAGCAATAGTTTCGAATCGGATGCATTTAGAGAATTCCAATTGCAATCTTCCACGCTGTTGAAATTGCATGTAGAAGCAAAAGACAATGTCAAGTTCTTGTCAACACTTGAAAGACATTTCAAGAGTATTTCGCAAGGATCTCTGAATGAAATAACAGATACAATTCCTCCGATGATGAATGCTATACGTATGGTATGGGTAATTTCTAGACATTACAACACGGACGAGCGTATGGTTCCTTTGATGGAAAGGATTGCCTTCGAACTTGCCGAGAGGGTTGCCCAGGACCTTGATGTGAAGACTCTGTTCAGGATTGAACTGGCAGAAGCAAAAAAGATGATCGGAGATGCACAGAATGTCCTTGAAAAATGGAAAGAAGCTTATTTCAAAGTTCGACAAAAGATTGAAGAATCAGGCAGAGATCAGAGATGGGAATTTGATAGAAAACGGCTTTTTGACCGAACTGATTACATGGTCAGCTGTTGTAATGATATCCACGACGTTGCTTTAGTTTTGGAGCACTTCCACAACATCCTTGGGCCAGAGTTGAAAGCAGTGACTGGCGATTCAAAGGGAATCGATGATGTTCTTACTAGGGTGAATGCTCTCGTCTACCCGCTAGAGTCAGTTCCTTTCGATCTGTTTGACCGAAGATTTCAGTCAAGTTGGGAAGCAATCATGCATCGATTCAGAGAAGACGTCTCAAGAATCGAAGAGGAGACTAAAACTTTCATCAATGAGTCATTCAAGAAGCTTAGATCTGCTGAGGGTGCTTTTGATCTTCTACAAAAATTCAAACACATCAAGACTCGAGACTCAATCAACAAGCAGATGATGGACAAATTTTCTGATATCCTGGGTAGATACAAGGAAGAAGTTCATCTAGTGAAGGACCTTTTTCTATCTAGCAAATCCAATCCTCCAAAATTCAAAAACCAGCCACCGGTGGCAGGTGCAATTGCTTGGTCCAGGGCTTTGTTTTACAGAATTAAGAAATCAATTATAAGGTTTCAATCTTATGAAGATATGATGTCTGGAGAAGAAGGACAATTGGTAACCAAATTTTACGTTGAGGTTGGAAGAATGATGAGATTGTACGAAAACGATCTAGTTGAAGGATGGAAATCTAAAGTTGAAGATGCTGTCATTCAGCATTTGAAAAGTTCAGTCCTTACGGAGGTCAATGGAAAAATTGTTGTTAATTTTGATCGGAGTCTTGTCACAATCATACAAGAGGCTAAGTATCTTGACAGAATGGGTATAGCAGTACCGGAAAATGCATTGAATGTCGCACTCCAGGAAGAAAAGTATTATGAATATGTCGAAGCCTTGAAAATTATGCTGGATCATTACCATCATGTTGTCAAGTCACTTTCACCTGCTGAGGAAGAACTGCTTCATGTACAGATACAAGATTTGGAGACGACCATACGATTTGGCTTTGATCCTCTCAACTGGAACTCGCTAGCCATCAAGGAGTATATGGAGCGATGTACCAAGCACATCAACGAGTTTTCTACTACGTTGAAACAGGTTCAAATGAGCGCTTCAAACATTGAATCTGTGGTGCTATCGATCATGAATGCACAGTTGGTTGATCCTGGGGAACTTGATGGCAAAAGCATAATGGATATGCAGGAATTTTATGAAAACGTGGAAAAGAATCGTAGTTCTACTGTTGAAACCATGGTGAAGAAATATCGAACAATTAAGGAACAAATGGGTAAAATTGAAGGTATTGTAGCCGGAAGTGGTACAAACAAATCACCTGCATTGAAAAGTTATTACAAACATTGGGAAAGTTTGATCTTCAAAGCCTTGACGCGGTGTGTGCACAGATCCTTGCATCAATTCTATGTGTTTTTGAACGTCAATCTCACATCCTTGGATGCAAGACATCCACCGATTTTTCGAGTAACAGCCAGTCTTGTTGCACCAGATATTGTTGTTTCTCCTGCTCTAACAGACATGCACAAGCTTTTCCAAAAGATGGTCAAAAACACGGTCGAGAGCACAAAGTCTTTTATTCGCTGGATGAAAGGAACCTGCATCGAAACGCCACCACAATATTTTCATGGAGAAGAAGAAGAGCCTGTAATTTATTCATTCTACAGTGATATTTCTGCTGATCCTACTATCATCAAAATGATGCTTACATTGAATCAGTCGGTACAAAAGGCATTTGCAAATTTGAAACGCTTTCTGGAAAAATGGAAGAGGTATTCGGGTTTATGGAAGCATGACAAAGCTGCTGTCTTGGAGAAGTTCATGAAATCCAACCCCACATTTGTTGACTACGAGGAGAAGTTATATTACTACAAGAAAGTGCGATCTCAAATCAAAGAAGAAAGGCCTGTGACAGATATTGACTTCATCCAAATTTCGTGCCACCCACTGATTTCAGACCTTGAAAGAGAGGCGAACTCTTGGATCATGACGATTGGCAAAACGATGCATGAGACTGCCAAGCAAAATACATTGAGTCTAAATGAAGCGCTCACTTCTAAGCGAGCAAAACTAACGGAAGCTCCAGACAATCTTGAAACACTCAAAGACATCGTGAGATTGATTGGAGACATTCGAAATTTGACTCCAATCATGGAAGAAAAGTTTATGGAAGTTGAAGAGCAGTTTCGAACACTTGGTATGTTTGAGTATCCTTCAGAGGAATCAGTTCGAGAACTGGCTCGAAGTATTCGAAATTCATGGTATGACTTGTGTGAAGAATCGAAGGAAGTAGACTACAAGTTGAGATCCATCAAAAAGAATTTTTGTGAGGTTACTCAGAATCAAGTTGATGATCTAGTGCTTCAAACCAAGAAGTTGATGAAAGAATTCAAGGAAAATGGACCTGACTCTCCAGATATCCACCTTGGCGATGCGTCATTGGATCAAGGTCTTGAACGCATGATATCCTACAAGGACAGGATTTCGGACGTTGGGAAGATGAAGGATGAGTTGACAGCTGCGCAGCTTTTGTTTGGACTTGAAGTCATGTCTTATCCGGAAATTGCAATGATGGAATCGAGTTTAAAGAGTCTGGATACCATATACTCCAAATATGAGGAATTCCTCAGACAGACTCAAGAATGGTCTGGGACGTTGTTCTTCAAGGATCTGAACATTTCTAGTTTGACTGAAAGAATGGAGGAATTGATATCAAATCTCAAGAAGTTGCCAAAATTGACCCGCCAACTTGGAGTGTATGCAAAAGTCCTTGAAGCACTAGAAAAATTTGAATCAACTATCCCATTGCTTGTCAAATTGAAATCTGATTCATTGAGAGAACGGCATTGGCAAAAATTGATGAGTTTGACTGGAAAATCATATAATCTGGACCCCAACTCTTTCACGCTTGGTAAGCTTTTCGAAATGAATTTGGAACAATTCAGCGATCAAGTTAACGAAATTTGCAATGCTGCTTCGAAGGAGCTTGCGATAGAGAACGGCCTCAGCAAAATAAAGGACACCTGGGCAACACTTTCATTAGAATTGTTTCCTTATAGCAAGGGAGAGATCCCCCGCGGTTACATTCTAAAGGGGACAGATGACATCATGAATGCGATCGATGAAAATATGACAGCACTTCAAGCCATGGGGAGCTCCAAGTTTGTGGTTCCATTTCTCGAAGAAGTAAAATCCTGGGAAAAAATTTTATCTACGATTGGTGAGTGTTGCGATATCTGGCTCATTGTTCAGAGAAAATGGCAGTATCTTGAAGGAATTTTCATAGGCTCAGATGATATCCGACTGCAGCTGCCAGAAGCAGCAAAAGAATTCGATAAGCTTGACAAGACATGGATGAAAATCATGGATGACACCAAGAAAAACAGAAATGCGAAGACCGCATGTACTGCCGAAGGTCGAGTGGATCAATTGACTGACATGTCATCTGCATTGGACAAGTGTCAGAAAAGCTTGACTGATTACTTAGAAACAAAAAGGAACTCATTTCCAAGATTTTTCTTCATATCTGATGATGAGCTGCTTAGTATACTGGGTACTTCAGATGTGACTTCAATCCAAGAACATATGTTGAAGTTGTTCGACAATTGCAACGAGCTGATATTTGCACGAAACAACAAAATCGTGAAAGGAATGATATCTGCTGAGGGTGAAACCTTTGATTTTCGTACTGTCGTGCCTGTAGAAGGACCAGTAGAAAATTGGATGACGAATGTTGCATTGGAGATGAAAAAAACTCTTGCAGAAATCATGAAAGAATCTGTTTTTCACTATCCAAAGGTGGCTCGTTTGAAATGGATGGATGATTCTTTGGGAATGTGTTGCCAGACTGGTATCAAAATATGGTGGACTTGGGCGATTGAAGATGTTTTCAACAAGGTCAAAAATGGCGACAAAAATGCCATGAAATCTTACGCACATAAATTGAAAGATGAAGTGAATGATCTGGTGAGAGAAGTTCGAAAAGACTTGCACAAGCTGATGAGGAAGAAAGTTAATACTCAAATTATTGTTGATGTCCACGCCAGAGATGTCGTTGATCGATTTATTCGTGACAGCATAATGGATATCAGAGAATTTGCGTGGGAAAGCCAGCTTCGTTTCTACTGGGAGAGAGTGAGAGACAATTGTGTTGTCCGTCAATGTACAGCAGAAATTCTCTATGGCTATGAATACATGGGACTGAATGGAAGGCTGGTCATTACGCCATTAACGGATCGTTGTTATATGACGATCACAACTGCAATAAGCTTTCGATTAGGGGCTGCACCAGCTGGTCCAGCTGGGACAGGAAAAACGGAAACAACGAAGGACTTGGCAAAAGCTTTGGGTACCCAATGTGTTGTTTTTAATTGTGGAGAAGGTTTGGATTACCAGGCCATGGGAACAATATTTTCTGGTTTGTGCCAATGCGGAGCATGGGGTTGCTTTGACGAATTCAATAGAATCAATCTAGAGGTTCTATCAGTTGTTTCAGCGCAGCTAAAGACAGTGTTCAATGCCCTCAGTGGTGAATTGAAAAGATTCCAATTTGAAGGAAGGGAGATTTCGTTGATATCCACATGTGGATTTTTCATTACGATGAATCCTGGATATGCAGGAAGAGTGGAGCTGCCAGACAATCTCAAAGCCATGTTTCGCCCAGTAACGATGATAGTTCCAAACCTACAGCAGATCTGCGAAATTATGCTATATTCAGAAGGTTTTGAGACAGCAAGAGTGCTTGCTCGCAAGATGGTAGTACTGTACAAACTTGCTAAAGAGCAATGTTCGAAACAGCCACATTACGATTTTGGCTTGCGAGCACTCAAATCAGTGCTTGTTATGGCCGGTGGCTTAAAGCGAGATCCACAAAATTCAAGTCTTGGTGAAGATATGGTTTTGATGCGTGCATTGCGTGACATGAATGTGCCAAAATTTATTTTTGAAGATGTTCCGCTCTTCTTGGGCCTGATTAACGACTTGTTTCCTGGTTTAGAATGTCCAAGAGTTCAACAACCTGCTTTGAAGACAGCAATACAGCAAAAACTCGAAGAAGGTGGATACAAAGTATTCTATGAGCAAATTGACAAGACCATTCAGCTTTACGAAACGATGTTGACACGACACACAACGATGGTCGTAGGTCCCACTGGCGGAGGAAAAACTGTTGTTTTAGTCACCTTACAGAAGGCACAAACAGATTTGGGTTGGCCAACAAAGCTATTTGTTCTGAATGCCAAGGCTCAAACAGTGAACGAGCTTTACGGTGTTCTGGACCCCGTCACTCGCGAGTGGGCAGATGGTCTCCTCTCAAATATATTCCGTGATGTGAACAAACCTCTACCACCAGGAAAAGAGAATGAGAGGAGATATATCGTATTTGATTCGGATGTGGATGCTGTTTGGGTGGAGAACATGAATTCTGTAATGGATGATAACAAGTTGTTGACATTGCCAAATGGTGAAAGAATCAGAGTTGCAGATCACTGCAAACTGCTATTTGAAGTAGGAAATCTGATTTACGCTTCACCTGCGACTGTAAGTAGGTGTGGGATTGTATTTGTTGATCCGAAGAATTTAGGATTCGAGCCGTATGTGTGGAAGTGGCTCAATGAGAGGTCTGACATGACTCAGGCTACGAATTTGAAGCCAATATTGTCAAAATACCTCATGAAGTGCATAAGCTTTGTGGTCGATGGGCTCATGCCTGATAATGAATTCGCCCCAAAGCCAGATGCAATTGTCAACTCAACTGACTTAAATTATGCCACACAATTCTGCGCAATGCTGGGTGCCATGTTAGATGGAGAGAACGAAATCAATGATTCCGGGATTTTGGAATCGATTGTTATTTTCTGCTTATGTTGGTCTGTTGGGGCCTCAATCCTCGAAAATTGCCGGGAAAGATTCGATAAGATCGTAAAAGAAATATCAGGAATGCCTGTTTCAAGCAGCAAAAGTGTTGGGATTGGTTCTTTGCCAGGTTCTTTACCAACTTTGTATCATTTCTACTTCGATTCAAACTTGAGCAGATGGATTCCGTGGCAAGAAAATGTTACTGAATACCAGCATGTTCCTGGAATGCCATTTTCAAACATAATCGTCCCAACTATAGATACAGTTACATACACCTACCACCTGGAATGGAATGTCAAAATATTCCGTCCCGTAATGTACTGTGGTGCCGTGGGTACCGCCAAAACTGTTACCATTCAAAATTTTTTGAAAAATCTATCCACCGATCAATATTCCAACATAGGAATAAATTTCTCTTCTAGGACAACTAGTATTGCATTGCAGCGCAACATTGAAGCATCGCTGGAAAAGAGAATGAAAGATACGTATGGTCCGTCAGGTGGCAAAAAGCTTTTGATATTCATAGATGATATGAATATGCCAAAAATGGACTTATACGGAACACAACAGCCGATAGCACTACTGAAGTTGTTGATTGGAAGGGGAGGGCTGTATGAAAGAGGAGAGAACTTCAAGTCTGGAGAAGGAACAAACTGGAAGAATATCAAAGATTGCTGTTACTTAGGGGCTATGGGCCCTCCTGGAGGAGCCAGAAGCTCCCTGGATCCTAGGTTTACTTCAATGTTCAGCGTTTTCAACATTCCATTCCCATCCAAGACCTCACTGACAACCATCTTCGAGTCGATGTTGAAGAAGCATCTGGAAGGGTTCCCACCACAAATTCAGCAAGCCTCTCAAAAATTGACAGATTTGACTCTTTCTCTCTATGACCTCATTGCTGTCAATCTGCCTCCAACGCCCAGCAAATTTCATTACCTTTTCAATCTACGTGATCTAGGCAGGGTTTACCAGGGACTCTTGCAAATGACACCGGACAAGTTTGACTCAGTTGCAAGTGTAGTTCGAGTATGGAGAAATGAATGTCTTCGAGTATTTCATGACAGACTGGTTTCAGATGATGATAGAGAGTATGTTCAAGGTCTCATACAGAACCTCGTCAAATCTGCGTACAATAGTGATGCAGACTACATCTTGGAGAATCCTATTCTTTTTGGAGATTTCAAAAATCTTTTCCTGGATACAGATGATGACGCAAACGACTCTAAAATGGAAGAGTTTGCACCAAGATTATACGAAGACATGATTTCATACGATGTTGTTAAGGATTGCTTTGAACGAATCCTACAAAATTACAACCAAAAACAGAAAAAGATGAATCTTGTTCTGTTTGACAATGCTTTGGAGCACTTGGTGAGGCTACAGAGAGTTCTTGAAATGCCACGTGGAAATCTGCTTCTGGTGGGTGTCGGTGGAAGCGGAAAACAAAGTTTGACTCGACTTTCATCGTTTGCGGCAGATTGTGGACTCTTCGAAATTACTCTGTCCAGAGGATACAATGAGAGCTCGTTCAAAGAGGATTTGAAGCGACTCTATGGAATACTAGGCCAACAAAATCAGAAAACAGTGTTTCTTTTCACCGATGCACATGTTGTTGAAGAGGGATTCCTGGAATGGATAAACAATATGCTGGCTTCTGGAATGGTTCCCGGGCTTTTTGCTGAAGATGAGAAAGATGTTTTGGTCGCAAGTGTAAGAGAAGCAGTTGCTCAACAAGGAATTGTTGAGACAAAAGAGAACTGTATGAACTTCTTCATAGACAGATGTCGTGATAATCTTCATATTGTTTTAGCAATGTCGCCCATTGGAGAAAATCTACGCACGAGATGCAGAAACTTTCCTGGCATGGTCAACAATACCACGATAGACTGGTTCACACCCTGGCCTGAAGATGCTCTTCTTTCCGTTGCAGGCCGATTCCTGTCCTCAGAAAAGTTGGATGACAATTTAAGGCCGAAGATAATAGAGCACTTCAAAAATGTCCATGAATCCGTCAGGCAAAAGAGCGCTGAATATCTTTCTAGTGTAAGAAGATATAACTATGTCTCCCCGAAAAACTTTTTGGACTTCATTTCCAACTATAAGCAGCAATTGAATAGCAAAAGAGATGAAAATGAGGAAATGATAAAGCGACTCGATGGAGGACTATCCAAACTTGTGCAAGCTGCAGATGAGGTTGCAAAGTTGCAGCAAGAACTTGCAGAAAAGACTGTGATCGTGGAATCAAAGTCCAAGGAGGTAGAAGAAATGTTAGTTGAAATTGAAGCAAATACTGCGGATGCGGTGGCAAAACAAGAGTTTGCCACGGCGAAGGAGAAAGAGCTTGATATTATGAAACAGAAGATTGCCGAACAAAAAGAAGATGCAGAAAGTCAGCTTGCATATGCCATGCCAGCGCTTCAAGAGGCTGCTGAAGCGCTGAACAATTTAAGAAAAGATGATATCACTGAGATTCGATCTTTTGCTAAGCCTGCCCCGCTTGTTGCGGCAGTTTGCGAATGTGTTTGCATTTTCAAGAAAGTAGAAGACATCTCGTGGAAGGGTGCTAAAGCTATGATGTCAGACACTGGATTTCTTGCCTCATTGGTGAATTTCAACAAAGACGGACTGACATCAAAGCAAGTGAATCGAGTCAAATCATACTACAAAGATCCAAAATTCAATCCCCAGGATCTGAAATCCATCTCAATAGCGGCTGCTGGACTGTTGCAGTGGGTCTCTGCAATGGTAAATTACTACGATGTGTCGTCAAGGATTGAACCAATGCGTGCTGCAGTACGACAAGCGGAGATGGATCAACAGAAGAATGAGAAAGATCTTTCAAAGCTTAAAAAGGAGCTGGCAGAAATAAGCCACACATTGGAAGTTCTTCGAAATGACCTTGAGCAACGGACAGCAGAAAAAGAAGCATTGAAGAATGAAGCTGACAAAATGGCTGCATTGTTGTCTGTAGCTGAGCGCTTAATTTCAGGATTATCGAGTGAGAGAGAACGTTGGAATGAAGATATCAAATCCTTGGGTGAAGAAAGGGCAAAAATTGATGGAGATTGTTTGTTAAGTTCTGCTTTCTTGAGCTACATGGGAGCATTCGACTTCTCGTTCAGATCATCCATTCTGAACCAGACTTGGATGCTTGACATTACTGATAAGCAGATACCACTTTCTCAGCCGTTCCTGCTGCAGAAAATGCTAACCAGTGACGTCGAGTTGAGCAAATGGGAGGGTGAAGGATTGCCGTCGGATGAGTTGTCAGTTCAGAACGGTATTCTGACAACCAGAGCAAGTCGATGGCCTCTGTGTATCGATCCGCAAATGCAGGCCGTCACGTGGATCAAGAAGAAGGAAGGAAAGGAATTGGAGGGCCGAACGAAATCCTTCAATGATAATGATTTCCTAAAGATTCTGGAAATGTGCGTCAATTACGGATTTCCATTTCTCTTTGAAAATATCGATGAATACATCGATCCAGTAATCTCTCCTGTGCTTGACAAGGATATCAAGAATGTGGGAGGAAGAAGCTTTGTAAAGCTCGGCGACAAAGAAGTGGATTGGGATTCAAACTTTCGGCTTTACTTCACAACAAAACTTTCGAATCCGCATTACAGCCCAGAAATTTTTGGACAAACGATGATCATCAACTACAGCGTTACTCAGAAAGGGTTGGCAGATCAGCTCTTGAACGTGGTAGTCAAACACGAGAGGCCTGATCTTGAGGAATTGCGTGAAAATCTAGTTCAAGAGCTAAGTGAAAACAAAATTCTTTTGAAGAAATGTGAGGACACATTGCTTCGAGAGCTTGCTTATGCGACGGGAAATTTGCTGGAAAATGAAGATTTGGTGCTAACCCTAGAAAAGACCAAGGCTACCGCCGTTGAAATTGCATCCAAAATACAAATTGCAAATCAGACGGCAACTGAAATTGAAAGAACTCGTGAAGGTTACATGCCCATTGCAATCAGAGGATCAGTATTGTACTTTGCCATGGCAGGGTTGTCGGTACTCAACATGATGTATGAGTATGCTCTATCTGCCTTCTTGCAAGTTTTCAATCTTTCTTTGGAGCGATCAAAGAAAGATGCTAGTTTGGAAGGGAGAGTCTTGAATGTGATGGAGCATTTGACCCTTAGTTGCTACAACTATACCTGTATGGGACTCTTCGAACGGCACAAGTTGTTGTTCTCCTTCCAGATGACGTGCATGATTCTGAAAGAGAGAAATGATATTGATCTAGAACTTCTTGATTTCTTCATCAAGGGTAACTTGGAAATCGGAGGAAAAGAAACTCCACCGTACGAATGGATTTCAGAAGCTGGTTGGCATGATCTCAGCCGTCTTCATCATAATTCAGCCTTTGAAAACCTAATTCAAGATATTCAGCAGAACGAACCAACATGGAAAGAATGGTATGACTTGGAGGCTCTCGAGCGTGTTTCGATTCCTATGGGTTACTCTGACAGTCTTGATTCCTTCCAGAAGCTCTGTCTCCTGCGATGTTTTCGGCCAGATCGTGTAACAGCAGCCACCCAAATTTTCATAATAGAGAAAATGAGTGACAAGTACGTACAACCTCCAGTGTTGAATTATATGAAAGTATTTGAGCAAAGCTCTCCACACATTCCGGTTTTGTTCATCCTTAGCCCAGGAGCAGATCCAGCCTTTGATGTTTTCAATCTTGCCGACAAACTTGGGTTTGGTGGCCCAAAAATGAAATTCATTGCATTGGGCCAAGGGCAAGGAAAAGCTGCTGGTCAAATGCTTGAAACAGGGGCCTCAAGAGGACAATGGGTAATGCTTTTGAACTGCCATCTCCTATCGAGTTGGTTGAAGACATTAGAAAAGATCTTGGAACACAACACAAAACCTCATGCTGACTTCAGACTTTGGATGACGACGGATCCGACGGACGCTTTTCCCTTGGGTATCTTGCAGAAATGCCTCAAAGTCGTGACAGAACCGCCGAATGGGTTGAAACTCAACATGCGTGCAAGTTTCTCAAAGATTAGTGATGAATCTCTGGAGGCTTGTCCACATTATGCTTTCAAGCCCCTCGTGTATGTATTGGCCTTTTTTCACGCTGTAGTGCAAGAAAGGAGGAAATACGGCAAGGTCGGATGGAACGTTGGCTACGACTTCAACGAATCTGATTTTCGAATTTCCATGCAATTGATGGAGTATTATCTTACAAAGACACACGAAGAGAAGCAGGAAGCTACTCCATGGGGAAGCCTGCGGTACTTGATAGGAGACGCCATGTACGGCGGGAGAGTCACATGCGATTTTGATAGACGCGTCCTAACAACTTACATCCACGAGTACATGGGTGACTTCTTGTTTGACGCCTTCCAACCTTTTCATTTCTTCAAGAACAAGGATTATGACTACTCCCTTCCAGAGAAGGCCTCCCTCTCGACATGCATGGAAATGATTGAACAACTCCCTTTGGTGACCAGTCCAGAAGTTTTCGGACTTCATCCAAACGCTGAGATTAGTTATATGACATCTGCAACTAAAGAACTCTGGACCGGGATGGTACAAATGCAACCAAGAGGGGGCGGAGGAGGTGGAGTCAGCAGTGAGGACATGATATCACGAGTAGCTCGTGACATTCAATCTGACATTCCTGTTGAGTATGACGTGCCAGTCCTCAGGCGGCATATGGCGAATGAGAATGGCACGCTAACTCCACTCCAGGTTGTTCTCCTACAGGAACTCGACCATTGGAATGCTCTGAATAACTATATGAGAACAAGTCTGAACGATCTTCAACGAGCCTTAAAAGGAGAGCTTGGAATGAGCGCTGAACTTGACAGTATCGGACAAGCGCTTCTCAACGGAGTTCTCCCAACACAGTGGTTGAAACGCACTCCAGACACCAGGAAAGGCCTGGCAAATTGGATCAAGTATTGGAATCGAAGACAAGAGCAATTTTCTAGGTGGGTGGAAGAGGGAGAGCTGAAGGTTATCTGGCTCTCTGGTCTGTCGATTCCCGAGACGTATCTTGCAGCTGTTGTTCAGACAACCTGCAGGCGTAAGAGATGGCCGCTAGATAAATCGACCCTTTACACCAAGGTCACCAAATTCCGCCATGAAGAAGAGATCAGTGAGAAGCTACTGGACGGATGCTACGTTTCCGGTACATACATTGAAGGGGCAGCCTGGGACATTGAAAAGGGTTTGCTGGTGAAGCAAAATCCCAAAGTGTTGATTCAAGAAATGCCAATCATTCAAGTGATTCCGGTCGAGGCTCACAGGCTCAAGCTGAGCAACACCTTTCGAGCTCCCGTGTATGTCACATCAGCCAGGAAAAATGCGGCAGGTGTAGGGCTAGTCTTTGAAGCAGATCTTGATACTGGAGAGCATCCAAGTCATTGGACCTTACAAGGAGCTGCCCTAGTGCTCAACAGCGATGATTGAACATCGTGCCGTGCGCACGAACAAGAAGTCGAAAATTCCACTCCAAATTTTTCGACTGATCGGGAACTCCAAGATTGATATTTCCTCCTGCAAGAGTATTTTTGTACTGTTCTTCCAATGATTGCTTAGCAGTCTTCGTCGCGTAATTTAGACTTTTCTTGTCCACAAAACCTCTTTTAGTAAAGATTTGTTTTTGTTTTCGAGTTCGATAGCAGCGAATAATTATTCCCTTAATCGGATCCAATAACCATGAAGCGCACTCCGCCTTACGACAATCAACAATCTTCAATCAACGTCACAAGGTGAAAGAGGCGGGAAGGCAAGAGAAAAGCAACACCTCTCTATCTTAAATCCATCTATTTCTAAAACTAGCTTTTAGCTGTCAAGGGAAAACGAACGTGATGACCTTGTCGCTATTCTGTCGCTCCAAAACCTCTGTGCTCTCACGAAGAATTCTTTCATGATCACATCAACTAATCTTCCGCTTGATTGCCTTCCACGACAGCATCCTGCATTCCACTGTCAAGAAGGCAAAACCAAGAGTCATCGCTCAACCTTTCCATCCCATTCAGGATACTTCGCAAAGCTGGGAGGCCAGGGTTTCAACTCTGAAGTTGCCTGAAAAGCAGCAATCACATTTCATGTCCAAGCACATTCATCAATCTCCACCTCCCGTCCGCGAAGTACATTGGAAAGGAACAAATCAATATCCGAAATCTACAGGGTAAAAGTGATTCTCATAAACTGACGGATTTTCGCAAGAATTTGACCTCGAACTTTCCTCGCATCACCGCGTACCGCCTCTTCGAAGGGCTGATTGCCACCAACGCGGGATAACCGAAGCCCAATCCCATCTTCTCTTCGAGCTCATAGCTTTCGCCGCCAGATGTCCACATGAATCGAAAAGTTCTTCCTACCTTCTTCTTGACCTCTGACAATTTGTTCAACCTCGCATTGCGTCCGGCGCTTTGGTCGTCCAATATTTGCGGAAGGAATGTCAAGACACAAATGCCATGCCAATCTTCATTGCATTCGTCTTTGAACACTTTCAAGCTGTTGATTTCTGGTATCGGTCTCATGGTTCCAGTCGATTCGAGATGCATTGTGACATATTGTACTATATCACTCGCAGTCCTCCCCCCGTTGTAGTCAACTGGAATCTTCTTTCCGTCATTGTCGCTCTTGAAAAGTTTGATTGTCGGATATCCCTGGACTCCATATTGTCCTGCTAGTCCGGTCTCTGCGGTTGCGTCTACAACCCCCAGCTTGAATTCTCCGGCCAATTGATTTGCTGCATCCTCCCACTCTGGTTTAAGTCGTTGGCAATGTCCGCACCACGGTGCCATAAATTGAACTAGCCAATCCTCTTTGCTATTCAACACCTTGGATTCAAAATCAGCTTGGTTCAGATGAATTACATGCGATTTCCCTCCCGAACGCTGCCTTGAGCTGCTGGATTCCTTTTCGGAATTCACTCCTCCAAGCCTCCCCATCACTGCATCTTGGATCGCTTTCAGAGCGAATTGAGCTAATGCTTTCGCATTCCGTTGACCATTATAATCCTGAAGTAAATACTATCATATTCACGTTCAAGTCAAAGGTGAACTTACAGAAGGATTCCGTTTGTTCGTGCTGAAAAGTTTGATTGTTGGGAATCCTTTCACACCATACTGTCCAGCCAGGTCCTTATGTTCATCAGCATTCACCTGTTGCCCAACTAGTTAAAACGAACCATCGTATCAAAGAGAAGTCTGCGAACCTGCCCCACTTTGATTGAAGGCGATACCGCATCCGCAAACTTCTTCCATTCCGGAAAGAGGGCCTTCGCATCGCAAGTCAATTTCGCTATGGACGCAAGGAGCTTTTCCTCTTTTCACCTTGCAATGGCCGCACCAGGGAGCATAGAACAGAATTACCCAGACATCCTGACTATCAATCTAAGTGGAGATAAGCAATTTCAGCCTGAATTCGATGTAGAGAGCATCAACAACAAACCACTCTTTGCTTGAACTCCTTCGCTGACAGCTCCTCGCCTCCAAGCGCACTCCCTTCACACCCATGAGGGAAAAGAGAGATCTAAAGCAGAACTCGTTAACGATGGTTGATATCTGGGTGATATTCTCACTAGGAACACAAGAAGTATCCCTGATGGCAAACTCCTCGACATGTTGAACTGCCATGAGCGTTAAAATCAGCCCTTCCCAACTATCCTTCTCCACAAACTCGTTCGCCTCCCTGCCTCGCTGCCTCCCTCTGCGCCTGTCTGTGTTCCTCCATGCTCATGATGGTCACGTCACCATCGCCCCACCCCCGTCGTCGTGCCCGAGGCGAGCCTGCTAAAAATCCCTGACCGACCCTACACCATAACAGCGCCAAAATGCAGGATCGGGAACCTGACGAAAGATGCTTGCGATGTAAGGAAGAATTCTGGAGGGTCCAGATGACGATGCAAGGAGATGCTATCAAATGCGTCAGCCTTGTGTCTAGATATAGGATCTTCCTTAACCAACAGAAGCGCTGCTCTGGTGATGTTGAAGCATTGTAAAACACAAACACACAGACTCGGACCTGTAACAGTCAAACTATGATGCCTGCAGAGATTCCAATCTCTGAAAAAGTTAAGACAAGATTCAAACAAGGTTTCAGGACAGGAACAGTCCACCTAGAGAAAATGAAATTGATGTCAATTCCAGGTAAATCTCCGCTGATCAACAAACACAACGAAGAGATAATGGTGGTTGACTGCCTGTGTAGATGACCTCTTCAACAATCAATTACCCAATCTGATGATGATCAAGGAGCTATACCTTGAAAATAATTTGCTTACTGTTTTACCTGATCTTATTGGAAACCTGTTCAATCTATACGAATTACGGTTGATGAACAACCAGCTTGTATGTGTTGATAGTTTGATCCAATAGCTGCTCACACGATTTCGTAAGGTGTCACTTCCATCGACTTTAGGACTTCTAACGAATCTTCAACTATTGTTTCTTCAACACAACAACTTGAATACTTTACCAGGTCAGCAACCTCTCCTTGTTGAGTCATCTGACCGCCGCACAGCTGAGATCGGAGCCTGTATGTCACTGCGAGTCATTCTTCTCGATTCAAATCCAGTCACTGAGATCCCGCCTCAAGTTGGTCTTCTCACCAAGCTCCGTGAATTGAATCTCGAGAATGTGACCACTCTACGAAATCCTCCGCAATCTGTGCGAAGCAGGGGGCTTCAAGCGATTCAGAAGTACCTGTCGTCTTTCTGTTCCGCTAAGGTCAGTCGCATCTCGTAAGTCCAGGAACTGATTCCTGCTCTTCAGGATACGTCAGAACTCACACTTTCAAACTATAACCTTGACCACATGTTGGTGTCAGATTTGCTTTACATTTCTATGATGCTGTGAAATCTGCAGGCCTGTAACCAAGAACTTACAACATATTGTTTCATTAAATATGCCCGGCAACCGACTTTCATACCTCGGTAAATTTCTCCATGCAATTGCAGTGATGTGACATGGAATTACCAGGCCCTTCCATTGTACGATTCTGCAATATCAAGAAAATCAATCTTGCAGACAATGCTATCGAATACTTTCCTTCTGAACTTCTGTGCCTTGGTACCCTCGAAGAACTAGATTTGAGCTTCAATCAGGTGAAAAACATTTGTGATAATGAAAATGCGTGTTCAAATCTTTTATTCATTAGATTCATTCGTTACCAACCAATTTTCGATTCATGACAAAATTGACTGAGTTTCTGATATCTCACAATTCCATACGCCTGTTGGACTCAGGTGCTTGATGTTGCTCTGGGAAACAAAGGATCATTGTCCAATGCTTGCAGGGCTTGGGGATCTCAATCAGCTCCGTCGTCTCGTATGTGCGGGAAATGCAATAACACGTCTCTCTCCAAATATTAGACTTTGCAGCGCTATGAAAGAGCTCAACATAACTTCAAACCGTGTTTCATTTTTACCAAAAGAACTTTTTGAACTTTGTAACCTAGAGGTTTTGGACGTATCTCGGAACGATTTGATTGAGATTCCTTCCAATATTGGGAATTGTACCAGCCTAAGAAAATTAATCATTGAAAGGTCTATGTGGCTTGCCATGAAATCGAAGTTTCTCAATCAGTTTGACAGGAACAAGATTGAAGTTCTGCGGAAAGAAATCGGAGCTCTTGAAGGTGACAAGAGAGGACAACGAACCACTTCTTGAATTGCTATACAAAGATACGTTGGAAGTTTTCCGGTACGAAGAAAACCCTTTGCGTATCCCACCGAAAGATATCCGAATGAAGACGTCCAAGTTTGTTATTGTAAGTAAAATAGTGGGTTTCCAATCAATTTGATCAGACTTGTAGGAATACCTAGCAAGAATCTTGAAGGCTTCTTATACTGATGCTTTGGACCTTAGCGAACAGGGGCTCAGGGTGCGACATTGGAATTGAATCAGGAATTTCTAATTTTGGGTATAGGTGTTCCCTATTGAAGTATGGCAACTTGAAAAATTATCTCTTCTTTGCATGAAGAGCAATTCAATCAATACTTTACCCGCTGACATCAACAAGTTACAATCGCTGACTGAATTGGACATGTCTGAAAATCGGGTGAATTCGTCAAGCTTGTGCCTTCCAAACAATCTTGAAGTGACATTTCTTTCATCCAGATCGTAATTTTGCCTAGAGAAATTGGTGATTTAATGCATCTCAAAATTTTCTTGTCACATTCAAATCAAATTACAAAGCTACCAGATGGTAAGGCGGTGTACTTGTGTCGATGAACAATAATCAAATCAAATTCTAGAATTTGCAAAATGTTGCGAACTTATTCAGCTGGATTTGCACTCAAATAAATTGGTGGGCATGAAGCTGTTTTGAGTGTATTTGATTTATCGCTACAGGTGAATATTTGCTCGTGGATCAGTTGCTTTTCGGATCTGAAGATCTTGAACTTGAGCAATAATAGTCTGCAAGAACTTCCTCAGCAAATCAGTGACCTACACCATCTCGGGATGTTGGAGCTTGCGAACAACATGATATCTGTGCTTCCATTCGCTATGTTTCGCTTGACCTCGTTGTATTCTCTCAAGTTGACAAATAATCCTCTACAATCTCCACCACCAGAACTTATTGATGCGCCGTTTCAAACTCTCCTTGATTACCTAAGGCAAATATTTGAAGCCGAAGATACGTCGACTTTGAACCTGTCTGGTAGGAATTGCACAAATTCTGATTCCAAATTTGATGTTGTTTCAGGCTTTCTCTTGTTGGAAATTCCAGTCAAAATATTCGATCTCCGATCCCTTACTTCAGTGAATTTGAGCTCGAATAGGTTGAATTTCTCAAACAGATCTGTATCTAAACAGTTTTTGACAGAATACGCCGTCTTCCTTACCAAATTTCAAATCTCATCGATGTACAAAGTTTGAATCTAGGAGAGAATTCAATGAGAGATCTGCCTGAGCAAATATCCTATCTGACCAATCTTACGAATCTGGACATAAGTCACAATGAATTTAGCTATTGGCCAGATGCCGTAAATCTCTGTGGTTTTTTGCGAGGTGAAAACACAAGTAATTGTATGCTATGCTGACATGAATTCTAGAAATCAAGATTAATCACAATCTGATGCAAAGAATACCGCCTTCGATCAAGTCCTTGACAAATTTGGAGTTGTTGGATGTTTCAGACAATGATCTAGACAATTTGACTGATAGCATCGGTAATTTGCGGAAGCTGAGACGCATAACACTTGCAGGAAACAGACTGGCAGGGTTACCGCAGACTTTTGGAAACCTCACCAATCTCAAAGTCTTGGACTTGAGATCAAATCTGTTTGCTGCATTGCCTCAGATGATAGCTTTTCTTACAAACCTCGAAGACCTCAACATCCAAGAGAATAACATGGACATAGCACGAGCTGAAATACCTGGTCTTGGACTCGTTGGAATGATTCGATACTTTCAGGTATACAATACGCTTTGTCACCCATGATTCGATCTGACTTGTTTGAAGGCACTTTCCAGATGTGAGGTCACAGGAAACCTTAGCCTTGACGTTCTTGGAATTTACGAAATTCCAACTGAGGTTTTCAGCTTCTCTCAAATCACTCAGATTTCTTTGATCTGTAATTCCCTCACTGCCATCCCAAAGCAAATCTCAAATTTGAACCTCTTACGATCATTGACAATCAGATCGAATAAGTTGAACAAAATTACAGAATCGGTTTCTCTGTTGACACAATTGCAGTTTCTTGATCTGAAGGGAAATGCGATCGAATTATTTCCTCCTTCTATTCTTCCATTGGGATCTTTGACTTTCTTGGACATGTCAGAAAATCGAATTCGGGATGTTCACGAAGGTGTACACTTGCTCTCAAGTTTGCAGGATCTTCACATGGAATATAATAACATTTCAATTATTCCACCCAACCTTGGTCGACTGTATCAATTAAAATGCCTTCATCTGCAACACAACGAAATTCAAGATATTAAAAATTCCACGGGCACACTAACAAATTTAACTGACTTGGATATGAGTCACAATAAGCTGATTAAAATTGGGCCAGATTTTCGAGGGAATAAGAATCTTACAAGATTGAACATTTCAAACAATAGAATATTGCGGTTGCCTGCCGAAATAGGAATGCTAGAGCGGTTGAGGACTTTCCTGTTCATGCCAAATCCTTTTCAATTGCCTCATTCTCAATTGGTCACGTCGGGAAGCGAAATACTCCAAGAGTATTTGCATGTCTTGTCTTTGGCAGGACAAACAAACGAAGTTTCCATGGACGGTCTCGAGTTGCAAGAATATCCACTTGAAACTTTGGAGTACAGAAACTTGACAAGTTTGTCCTTGTCCAATAACAGGATTCAATCTTTGCCTTCTAATATAAGTAAGCTAAGCAACTTGACCAAACTTTGCATCACAGCAAATCACGTAGAGAAACTGCCCGATGCGATCGCGCACCTTACCTCGTTGTCACATCTGGAGGCTGACAATAACAAAGTTGTGACGTTCCCGAAAAAGCTTGGAAATCTAGCAGGAATGAAGGTTCTTTCCTTGAACCATAATTTTCTAGATTCGTTACCCGCGGATATTTATCACTTGACTAAATTGCAGATTCTCGGTCTTTCTGGGAATCCTTTGAGGGATCCGTATAGGATTTTGGTTGAAAGAGGGATCTATTCAGTTCTTGAATTCTTTCGCAAGCTGGCAGAAGCAAATTCTTCAGGACAATTGATCTTGAACAATGCATTCGTTGATGTCATCCCTGTGGAGATACTGCCCAGAGATGTTACTTGCTTGGAGCTGAGAGGAAACAACTTTTCCAAATTGCCTGCATTTGCAGGGGAACTTGAAAGTCTGACGGAAATCGACCTTAGTGAAAATCGACTGCATTCATGGTCAGCTGAATTTCCCAGTAATTCGCATCTTGAAAAACTCAATCTGCGAGGGAATCGCTTAAGAAATCCATTCGATGACCTTTTCATGGCCAAACGCTTGCGAATTTTGAATATTTCAAATAATGAAATCACCTCCATTCCCCGAAACATATTCACTGACTTGATCAACCTAAAGTCTCTGAACATGAATTGGAATCTGTTGAGATTTGTTCCATCAATCAAAAACTTGACGGCAATCAATTGTCTTTCAGCAGTGGGCAATCGAATCGCATCTTTGGACTCTATGGAAGCCCAATTGGCTCCCCAATTGAAGGAATTGTGGGTTTCCGACAATGAGATTCTTGTTTATCCCACGTGGATTTTTGATAGAGGAATAATTGAGTATGTAGATGTCGATTTGAGAACACTACCCTTTGTCGAAGCAACTGCTGATGATGTGGACAAGAAGATAAAGGACATTTTGCGCACTTGGTTTCCTGGTCTACGCTTAGACATGTGCAATTTTATGTTGGACACTGTGCCAAAGGAAGTTTTCCAGAAGTTGAATTTGGAGAATCTTTACCTTTCCGGAAATATCCTGAACAACATCGACAAGAATATAGGAATGTTGGTCCATTTGAAACAGATATTTTTAGTTCATAACAGGCTGAAGGATCTTCCAGCTTCGTTTGGAACCCTCGTTGATTTGCAGCTTCTCATGTTGGACCATAACAGATTCTCAATTATCCCACAATGCATTTTCAAACTCAAGAACTTGCTCAAGTTGACAATTTCCTTCAATGATCTGAAGGGTGAACTCAGTCCAGAGGTCGGATCTCTTCAGCTGCTGGAGATTTTGTGGTTGAATAACAATTCTCTTGATGTTCTGCCAGATGACATCGGCAAATGCCATAATCTAAAGGAGATGTGTCTAAAGCATAACAGATTGTATCATCTTCCAGAAACCATGATGTTTCTTAGTGGCCTGAGGTTGCTTGACGTATCTTACAACGCTCTCTCTACTTTATGTCTACCACAACAACTCGGAGCCTTGACTGCTGTGCAGGAACTCATGCTTGAAGGAAACATGATAGATGCCACCGAGATTGAGTTGAAAGAAATAGGTAACTCTTCTTTTCTGCAAATATCTCGACGAATGTTGGAAAGTTATGAAAGTGGAACTCTGGATATGAATCTGATGAATATAAGCTCAATACCAACTCCAATTTTTCAAATGTCGCACCTTGTCAGCTTATTTCTAGCAGATAATCAGTTGAACGAGATCCCAGAAAGTATTTCACTTCTTACCAATCTAGTAACGCTTGACATATCTCGAAATTTTCTTCACTCCCTCCCCAGTGAGATGATCCACCTTTCGCTTGAGGTTTTCTGCATTCATGCAAATGAATTCGCTGCGTTACCCCTTATAATTTACAAATTTGGAACTCAATCTAGGATACAAAACGAATTGATGGATGTTGAAGAGAATTTGATCGAGGATTGTTCGTTGCTTTCTCTTGATGCCAGTCACAATAGAGTGATAAATTTGTCTTCGCACTGTCAAAACATGAAGCAGTTGACAAACCTGAATCTGAGCGTGAACAAGATCACTAGGATTCCTCTATCGATACAGAACCTGACTAATCTTCAATCTTTGGATTTGTCAAAGAATGATTTGACGCTGATTCCTGCTGAAATCTCGAGATGTACGGCACTCACAAGTATAGAGTTTGAGCAAAATCAAATACGATTCTTGCCGAAGGCTATTGGAGCTCTGAAGAATTTGAGAACATTGAATCTCAAGAAGAACTCTCTCACTTCCTTGCCATTATCTTTGTCCGACATACCGAATCTGTCTAATCTAGAGTTTCTGGAAAATGATATTGTTCTACCTTCCAGGGAGATTCAACTGTTGGGCACATCATTTATGCTTAGATATATGGCTTCGGTGAAGCTTGCCAAATCTACAAATAGCCTTACTCTTGCTGGGTTTTGTTTGAGTTCCATTCCAAGAGAGATTTTTCAGTTCAAGGGATGCGCTCAAGTGACGTCATTGAATCTCCAAGACAACAAACTATCGGAGCTCGAACTCAATGTAGCACAAATGTTTGAACGACTTGAAAAGTTGAATCTTGCAAACAATCATCTTTCAAACCTTCCTGCTAATTTCGATCTTCTGAAGTCATTGCAGCACCTTGTGCTAGATCAGAATCAATTTATGGAATGGCCAACAATATTGTGGAAGATGACCAGCTTAAGACGTTGCTCAGTTTGTGAAAACAAGCTTTCGAGGATTCCTGGTCAGATTCTCCTTTTGTCAAACTTGACTGATTTGAAATTTGACGAAAATGAAATCATTTTCCCACCAACTGAGATACGAATGCAAGGTTTTACTGTCATCTGCAAATACCTCCGATGTCTTCAATATTTCTCTCATGACACAGGATGTGAGATGAAAAGTCTGGGTTTGTCCACCTTTCCTTTGCTATGGGATTATCCAGAGACATCTTGGTTTGGATCTGTTCCAATTCTGAACTTAAAAGATAATCAAATAGAAGACATTCCGTCTGGAATCGATATCATGAAAGGTTTGTGAAATCATGCTCCTTTCTGGTTTTTCCTGACGTCTCTTGAATGCAGCATTGGAAGAGCTTGATCTTGAAGACAATCGAATCAATATTCTGCCGAAGGAGCTCTTTGATCTCGAAAAATTGAGGATATTGAGACTCTCAAACAACAGTTTGAAGGAATTTCCAGAGTTGACAAAGTTACATATATCTCTACGCTCCATTGATTTGTCAAAGAATAGACTGACTTCCTTTCCAAAAGGTCTGAACCACTTCCCTGAATTGAGGTTGATGAACTTGGACGAAAATATGATTTCAAACCTCCCTGAAGACTTCTCCGGATTGGATAATCTACAAACACTGTACATTTCCAAGAATAGTCTTGAGATGCTTCCAGAAACTTTCACTTCTTTAACGGGATTGACCGAACTGAGGCTAAATCACAACAAGTTGAAGCAAATTCCGCATTGTCTGTTGCACATGACAACGGTCAGCATTCTCAAGCTTGAAGGCAACTACATAGAAAATATCACGGAAGAGATATCATCGAAATCCACAGCTACAGTGCTGCGATACAGAGAACTCTTAGAGAAGGCCAGGATTGACCATGTGCTGAACATCAATAATCTTGCTTTGCGCAGCGTGCCTCAAGAAGTGGGAGATTTGGTCACTTTGAAAATCTTGAACATTTCTAATAATCAAATTGTTGAAATTCCAGTATTTTTCGCACAACTTTTGCATCTTGAAAGTCTTGACCTCTCGTACAATAAAGTGGAAAAGCTTCCTGATGTATGGAGTTCGTTAAAGAAGTTGAAATATCTGAGAATCAATTGCAATGCAGTCGAAGTTCTGCCCGAAAGTTGTGGATTGCTGGAATCACTCATGGGCTTTCACGCAGCCTACAACAAGTTCAAAGGAATCCCAGACAGCACTTCAAGATTAAGCTCTTTAACTGTCCTTGATTTGCAATATAATGAGATTTCAAAGTTTCATGATTCTATCTTTTCCTTGTTCAATTTAGTCAGTCTCAAGCTGAACAATAATATGATACGATCGTTGTTAGACAGTGACGCCTGGGTGAATTTGAGCAAGATCCAGATATTGCACCTTCATTCGAATCAGTTGTACTCTCTACCTTGGGCAATTGGGAAGCTGGTAGAGCTCTCAGATTTCACGTATTACTCCAACGAATTGCATACGCCAACACCTGAAATCCTTGCTGGGGGAGTCCAAAAGGTAAAGCTGTACATGAACAAGGTAAATAAAAGCAAAGAAGATCAAACTTTGGATATATCCAAAATGGAGCTTTCAACATATCCTCTCGAGTTGAAAACCTTTCAATCCATTACCTCGTTGAACATGTCTGGAAACAGGATATTTGAACTTGACGAGGTCATCTCACAGATGAACATGATGCAATTCCTGGATGTCTCTCGGAATGCTCTTCACCGCCTTCCAGAAAGCTTGGCTAGATGTTCACACTTGAATAAGATAATCGCCAGCCATAACCGCATCAAGATGATTCCCCGATCCTTTCGTCAGCTGAATCGCTTGCGAGAATTGTACATAGACAACAATTGCCTGGAAGAATTTCCTGCGTATCTAAAGTTCATGAATCAGATGATGCGCTTGGAAATTCAGAACAACGGCTTGAAAGAATTAGGCTCAGAATCAGCGAACTACACTGACGTTGACTCGAGTGGCAAGCAAGAGGTGGCCCTTTCAACTTCTTCAAGTAATCAACTCATCTACCTTGAGGCCAGTGACAATCAAATCACATCACTCCCAAGATGGATCCAGGACTCTAAATCTCTTGTCAGGTTAGGTTTGGACAACAACATGATTCGATTCCTGCCATCGGGTATCACACAATTGACCAATTTGAGGAGTTTTGTGATGAGGAACAACGACTTGCAGCAGCTGCCTCTTGAAATTGAGGCCTTCTCCAGCTTGGTCGAGCTACGACTTGACAGAAACGGTCTTGCGAACCTCCCAGGCACGATGCAGTTTTTACAGCAGCTGAGGTATTTGTCCTTGGCAGAGAACAATTTGACGGGGAGGTGGAACTTCTTTCCGATCCAGTACCTGTCGAACTTGATTGAATTGAGACTGGCAGGAAACTACTTGACTGCTCCTCCTCGTGGAGTCGGCAGATTGAAAAATCTCCTCTTGTTCGATTGGAGACCGAAAGAAGAATAAAGGTTAATCCTTGTAAGTTTCAACGATGTGATCAGCCATTCGCCTCCTCACTCCTGCAAGGTGTAGATGGGGGCTACTGTCCTCATGTGAAAATCAATGCAAGTCTTGAAACAAGTCATCTACTTGCGTGAATGGCTTCGAAAATCGGACTCATTCACTCCACCTCTCCTCTGGAGCAAGACTGCAGCAAGACTCGTAGGTAAAGAGGCATGAGGGAATCATGCTTAGCTGCAGTGCTCGAACAAGGGTGGAAGGGTCTGCTAGATCAGAGCAGCAGCAAGTCGTTTCAGTGGACTCGTAGATGCTGCGAGACTGTAATCCCTTGTGCCGATCTAACACCAAGACTCCTAACGCCTCCGCAAGTGCCCCGTTAGGCACCCTACGGTAGAGCAGCTGTTCCTCGAGTCTCGCACTAGTAGTTTTACCCTATCGTCGACCCCTGCTTGATAAGTAAAAAATCAGAGCACTTGCCAAGGGAAGTGGAATGGCCAGATGGCGCGGTGCATCCTCCTGGTAGTGGCGCTCCTGTTGGCGTCTGTTGGGACGAGGGGAGGAGAGGGAACAGGAGGACATGGTCATGGACTGGGTGGAGGTGGGATGAGAAGATGGGGACGAAAGTTTGCAGAGATAGGAGAAGGAGGAGGGGGAGGGAGAGGATGGGAGGAAGGAAGAGACGGATCATCGCGCATGGGTGAAGAGAGTCTAGTGGGTCTCTCGGATGCTATGGATCAATCTCCACGAGTCATGGAAGATACGACGAGGTTGATGAGATTCCTCACCACGAGGAAGAGCATGTGTGAGGCTGACGACATCTTCATGCAGCAGACCTTCTCTTTAGACCCTTCCAACACCGACAGAGTTGTTGACCATGTCATGCATATCTTAAGCCCCTCGTGCCGATGCCATGATGATCGAGTTGCGATCTACTTACTGAGACACGTGCTGCGCATCAGACCTGATCATTCTCTCGGATGGAAACTGCTTGGAGACATGATGTTTGCTCGAAGGGCTTACCAGTTTCTGAGATCACTGGACAAGGACGAGAGCTGTGAGGAAGTGCGTGATACAGGCGATGATAGTGAGATCTGGTCCCTATCGATGCAGATGTATCAAAGGTCAATCAATTTTAACCCTGATAACCCCGGAGCCTTAAAGGGCATGGGAGATGTGTCGTTGAACATGCTGGGAAATCCCTCTGGAGCAAAGAGATGGTATGAAGCAGGCTTGAAGGTCAAGGAGATGGACGACGATACTCGCAATGATTTGTTGATTGGACTTGCTTCTGCTCATGAGCATCTGCATGAATATGACGAGGCAGCAAACCTGTACGTGCGAGCGATCGATTTACGTCCATTTGACCATAAAGCAAACAACGATCTTGCAGTGCTTCTGTTCAAACAAGGTAATCTGTCGTCTGCTGCTGAAATTTTTGAGGCTTTATTCTCCAATGAAAACTGGTCAGCACCCTATTCGAATGCACAGTTGTGCTACAATTACGCAATTCTTCTTGAACATTTGCAGCAGCCGGAGAAAGCTTTGAGGGTTCTTGAAGCAGCATTACCTCATCACCCACAAGACATCAATGTTCGATCAAAGTTGGCAGAATTGTTGTACTCTTGCAGTACAGAGTACAGCAGGTCGAGAGATATTCTGCTTGAAAATCTCCGGATTGTGCCCAATCATCTGCCCTCATTGCTCTGTCTCTCTTTGTTGGAGGAAGAAGTTGAAGGTAGTCTTGCCGAGATAGAATCTGTGCTTGAAACTGCTCTTGATATGGAACCCTCGAATCCGATCTTTCTGAACTTGAATGCGAGAGCGTATGCTCTTTGGGAAGACTATGAAAATGCAGAGAGACTATATCGAGATGCCATCTATCATTCCATGGAGAAGCCAAATCTCAACTCTTGCCTGGGATTGGCAGATGTGTTGACAAAAGGTGGAGTGGGTAACTCAGAATTTGCAAAATATGCTTGGAAATTCAAGGACAGGAAGGATCAAAACTTAAACTGGGAGTCTGTAGCTCGAGATGGTTTGAAGAGTCCTATTCATGAGGCGAAGCTTCTTTACGAACATGTACTCTCTATCGTTCCTCATGACATCACAGCTTGGAAGGGGATGGCAGAGCTTTATGAAGAAGGTTTCTTGCGGCTAGAAAAGGCCAAAGAAATTTACGACTTTGCCATAAGTCTGGAGCCATCAGATAGTTCCATCCTCCTTGGTGCTGCAAAGCTTTCGGCTCGCATCGGAAATCACTCGAACGCTATCGATTTGCACCAGAGAGCCGTTGAATTGCGCCCGCTATCTGCAAACTTGATGTGAGTTGTTTTGGGTGACCCTTTGTACTCACCAAAGGCTGACTGTCGATAGGTTCGACATTGCCAATAATTGTGTAGAGATTATGGATCACACAGAAACAAAAGAAGTGTTTGCTGAACTTGCAGCTGACTTTTGGAATCGAACGATTCAGCTTGATCCCACTCACACATCTGCCCTCTACAACTTGGGGTTGAAGTGTGTGAGCGAAAATAAAATCTCGCAGGCATATGAGTTCCTGCACCCTATTGAACGAATCGATCCTTCGAATTATTTAGCACTTTATGAGGTGAAATTGTGAAGAAATCCTCGTTGATTGATCCTACTTACAGTGAGAAATCTCAGGTAGCTTGTTTGCATGAAAGATGGGGAAACTGGTCGGAAGCCATCAAATTCCTATCGAGGGTGCTGGACTTGGAACCAACGTATCGAGATACCCCCTCAAGAATTGCAACAAACCATTGGAAGTTGGGGGAGAAGTCAACGGCAAAGAAGATGTTCGAAAGGGAGATTCATCGGATTGAAAGGCTGGCAGAGAGAGGAGAACCAAGTCATGAACGTGCCTCTGCTTATTTCCTCTACGCGCGCTTCTTGGAGGGTCAGGACAAGTATAAGGAGGCTAAGCTTGCATACGACAAAGCGTTGAATGCTCCATTTTCTCAAGCAGAGATTCTTGCCCACGCAGGTTACAACTCTGCAGTGAACTTGGGTCAAGTAAATGACGGCTGGCAAAAACTCAAAACTTCAATTTGCATGGCCCCCCACGACGCTTCGTGTCATGCTATTTACTCGTTATTCCTCGCAAAGAACGGCATGCAAACAGACGCGACAAAACACTACAACATCGCTCTGAAGCTCCGACCCTCACTTTAGATCGCTGGGGATATGGCTGAATCACTCAAATGCTCAGGTCTCGATAAATCTGTTACAATTCTTCATGTGCCCTTGATATGAATAGTTTAAAAATCTCCAAATCAACACATTGCACCTTTCATCTCATACGTCATTGGAGTGTTCCACGCGTTACTCATGGAGTCTTGGATCGAGCTTGAGTTGGTCGTAGAATTCCCACCCAGCCATATCATGGCCTGGTGATTTCTTATCCTTTCTCCGCTGGCACTTGCATCCCTCACTGCGATCGGCGACCCGAAGTCAAGAGTTTGCACGATTCTTGCGGATAGCGTAGCTGCTTTTCCCGTGAGTCCGAACAGCTGGGCACCTGAGGGTTTTCTAATGTCAATCGTAAACTCTTCTGTTTGATCTTTGTCGAGTTGCAGATGACATTTTCCAAGGATTGTTTCTTCATTGTTGTACTGATGGATTGTCAAGAATGCATAGAACACTTGCTCATTGTCCCTAACCAAGTCTGCCAATTTGACGATGCTCATTTCTCTGGACTTCGAAAAACAATAAGCATGAGTTATCACAATTTCTTCGTCCCAGGAAGGATCTGAGGTCAGATCTGTGAGTTTTGAGACATGTTGTGGCGCTATTTCCAACTTTCTCTTCTCGTCCAGTCTCATTCTCTCGTCCATAAAGATAGCCGCGTACATTGATTTGTGAGAAAGTTTATCTATAGCATCTTTTTCAGTTCTGAAAAATTGAACCAAGGAGACACAACAAAACATTCCTCCATTTGCAGTGCTGTCGAGAATCGGAATATTTTTGGCACTGTGAATATGCAGCCTTATGCTTGATTGGGTGTTACTGAATCGAAATGTCGAGTTTTCTTCGAGGCTGCGGTTGGTGCTGGTTGTACTCAATGTAGGGGAAGCAGCTAACAATGGTTTTGAGGTCAAGTTTACATTCCCTGTTTTTGAGTTCTTGGGCTCCATTTTCTGTGGGGCAAATTCATTAAAGACTTGATGATCAACAGCTTCTTTCCAACTTTGAAATCTTTTATAAGGATCTTCTCCTTCGAATTCATGTTTAGAATTTGGGCTTGGTTTGCCAAAGTTTGCAATCTTTTCATCCGATTTTCCAGGTGATTTGAATGAATGATTGTTGTGATGTTGTGCCTTCCTTGATAACACGTTTTTCTTGCCTCCCTGAATAGAATAAACCATTTTCAACAACTGATCCAAGCTTTCATAGAGAAGTACATAAGGCGAGTTCGATGATTGACCTGCCTTTGAATGAATCACCGAGGAAAAATTTTCTTCAAGCATCCAAATTACTCGTGTTGATTGCTCAACTATCTTATCGAGATCAACAGCAGGAGCATCAACCCCTGAAGAGATGTGGTCTGATGCTTTGAGGCTCACAAGCTGATCCTCTAGTGATCTGATTACCCCCTGCAACCTGAATACATTCTTCTGATGTTGAAGTGACTCTTCAGCGAGTCGATCGGCACTTTCATTTTGTCTTCTTAGACTTGTTTTCATGATTTGCATCTCTCCATGGCACTCAGCTAATTTCTGGTTCAGACTTTGAGTCTCATTGATCCAAAGTGCCTTCTCTCGATGGTATCTCACTTGATGCCAAATGGTGACCTGCTCATGATCAGTTGAGCTTGGAAATGCTTTTGCAATGTCCTCATCGCTCTGGGCCCTGAGTAGTAGGGATGTCATCTTTCCCATCATGCTTGAGCTGTTCTCGAGCAACTGATCTGTTGATGCCTTCAGTTGCTGCAAATGGTCTGCCTCCAGGAAACATAGATTGTTGGTGGATTGCTCTTCTTTCATTCCGTCATTGAGCTCATGTATCATATCGATGGTAGAGTTGATTCGCAGACACTCGTCTTCAAGCTGGGCTGTCAGCCTCAGAATATGTTTTGCTACCTTGTTTGCATCGATCAAACGTTCTGGGACCTTTAGTTCCTTTGACGTTGGACCGTTTTCAAGTTGACAAGACAGATCAATGAGAATCCCACGATATTTCTTCAACATTTCTAATTCAAGCAAAGATTCACGTAAGAAAACTGTTAAATTTTCACGTTCTTGGTACAGAGACTCCATCGTTGTTGTCCATTTCCTAATTTCTGCAAGAGAAATCGAATCTTTTGAGGGGTCGTCATTCAATTTGAACAAGGCATCTCTTGAATATGATATTTTTTGCAAAATTTTTTCACGATCTTCTTCTATCTTATTTTGCTTTTCCATCAAAGAGGCAACTTGCTGCTCCATATATCTTATCTCAGCACTCAGATCATCAGTCGACATTGAACCCTTCATTGATAGTGTGTCAGTCTTGAACACTTGGTACACAGGCTGTGATAAATGTTTTCCTTGATTGAAAGATTCCTGTTCAATACCTTTCATCGATCTTCGGATGGCATCGACTTTCATGTTTTCAGTTTTTGAGTTGTATTTGGCAGGAGGAAGCAGATTTCTAGGTTTCAAAGCTTCTTCTCTGCCTTTCTGCTCTGCTTTCACATGTGTCGTTTCTATTCTTCCTCGCGCGCTCAGCCAGCCAGAGTTTACATTGGGGCTCTGTCGAACTCTAGGTGAAACATAGTTGGTGAATCCTTCAGAATCTCTCCACACAACATCTCGAATAGTGCCAATGTCAATATTGAAAAGAGGAGAATTTGTTTTCAGCCCTTCTGATCCGCTTTGAACATCTAAAAGCAAATCTTTCTTTTCATACCTTTCATAAGATTTGATCGGAAATCGCTTCAATGGGTGATTTTGAGACTCGCTTCTCAATGATTTCAATTCCCTTCTGAGCATTTCGATTTCAGAATCATCGTTTTGCCGTTTTTCATGCTTTTCTTCATGCGCGCTCGACAGAAGTTTCTGTCCCAAATGATTGAAATTATGATAGTAAGACCTCAACAAGATCGACACCTGTCTTTGCATGGTTTGGTTTGGACTCGAATTCTCACTAGTAACGTGTCATCGACTGATCAAACATCATAACAACTTGTATTCCTACCTCACGAAACTTGGCGTTTGCGTGCGATTATGTTCTGCCTCAAAAATTCATTCATTCCACACATGCGATGGCCACAACAAACCGGCTTGCGGACTTTGCTCTGCATATTCAGGTGGCGTCTTTGACTTCTACAGGTAAGAATGCACACCACCTGTGACAAACAGCTTACCGGACGAATCCAAGACCACTGTTTGAGATCGTGGTTTACGAAGAAGCTTCTTCCTGTCTTTTTGTCTACGTGTTCGATCCAACCCTGAACATTTCATTCGGTCAGACGATAATGGGAGAAAGATATAAAATGTGCTACCTCGATATTAGCGTCCATCTGTGGAGGTTCATACGTGGCTTCAACGTTACTGCTTCTGAGTCGTCAGCAGTCAAAGCAGGAAACTCTTTCTTTCCCTCTTCCCTGCTCCAATTATCGCATCAAGCTCTTTCCTTCCCTTCTGCTTTCTCCCGCCATTTCTCCCTTCACAGAGGAGGGGTACAAAATGACCCCTACGTTTGATAGTGGAACGGAGGGGTAGACTCACCTACTCTGGTAGTAATCAGAAACGGTAATCAAGGGCCTCTCGGCCGGGCCCACAGCCGGGTTAGCCGGGTTGTTTCCTATTAAAAAGCCATAGTACCGGTAGATCTGCCCACCCTACCCCTATACAGCCTACTACGCCCAATTTACCCAAAAGCTTCACTTCCCCACCCCCATTCCCCCCATTCCATCAGGAAGCCGCACCATGCGTTGCTCCCGGAAGCAACCAAGGCAGCGTTGCAGTGGTAGTGGTAGTGGTAGGACGAAGAGCAGTGATGGAGGGAAGGGAAGAGGGCACGAAATATCAAGTACGAAAGAAGATCGAAACGAAGGTGAAGGAGCGAAAAGATGACAAGGGGATATGAAGACAAAACTGCACGACAAAGAGGCCATGGGACCGTTAGGGAAAAAGACTAGGAGCGCAAGGACAGAATCCTCACATGTCAAAACTCTTGATTCTCCTCTTTTCCTGCTTCCCCTTCGTCTCTATCTTGCATTCCTCTCTCTGAATGGTCTCTATCTCGCCTGTTTTGCCTTTTCAAGCCCATTATAGACTCATTTTTCCCCTCAACATGATCTGACTGGTGATTTGTTCTAGATGTCAGCCTACAGCGCAACCTTGTCCGATGACGTCATGACGACAGCTCGCAAAGCCTTCGAACGATACGACCATGATGATTCGGGGACGATTCAAATAGAGGTAAGGAAGCCTTCTGCCAGCACGTTTCATTCCTCACTGAGCGATGACAGGAAGTCGTGCAAGCTTTGCAAGATGCAAAACGAGATGCGACAGAAGCGCAAGTAAAATGCTTGCACAGACATGAATGCTCTGACTTGACAAGGTGTTTCAACTTCTGGATTCACTTGGGTTGTCGGATGGAAGCTCAGGGCTTCGATTTCACGAGTGATCACGTCACAATCACTGTCATTGCTTCTTCTAATCAACTCTCTGCAGATTTTTGGAACTTCTGGAGAAGCTTCCTGAGCAACACAGAGATCACGTGGCTTGTTTCTTTGGTCCTTCTTTTTCAAGCTGAATGTCCAAAAAGCAGGTGATAGACGAAGATAATGATGCTTTTGCGGCTTCATTCCAGTGGTTAGGGGGGAATCCTGGTGAGAGCAGGGAATGAAGAAAACCTGTGTTCTTACATGAAGCAGAGGATCCGGATAGCAGCATTACAAAGGAAACGATACAGAAGGTGCTACAAGACTTCGAGCTAGACTCCAATGTCGATGCAGTATGATTCTTTGAGTTTCAAGATCAGGGCAATAAGGATGCAACAGGTGTTGGGGACCGATGCAATGAAATCAAGTTTGAACTTAAAGGACCTTCAGCAGGTTTACCTCGCCGCACTTGAACTTCCTAGATTCTAAACAATCGATCCTTTCAGGCGCTCACAAACAGGAAGTGACAGATGGGTTAGAAGGAGACAATCTCCCTGCTCTTCGATTCTTGATCAACCTCTGCCTTCCTGTCTCTGCATATTTTTCTTGCTTTTTCCTCGCATCAAATTTCAGCGTAAGAAATCGGCATCCATGCAGAAGATGACAATCGCTCCACATTCATTGAGCTTGGTAAGATTTTCTAGACATAGCACACTCAGCCTAGTAGATTCTTTAGCGCGCAGTTTCCCTGAGAAAGTTTGTCACATGACGTCCAATAAAAAACAATACTGAGATGACCTGTTCTTGTACTCCGGCTCGATTCGGATACTCTTGCATCCCCTAAGTTTCGTGTTAGCGCAGAGAAGTTCCAATTCAGTGATAGAAATACTTGACGGATGATCTGTGGAGCTCCTTCTCGGATCGCTATCGCTTTGCAGTCTGGGTCCAGCGCCAAGTGCCTCAAAGCCCAGCAGCCGTATTCCTACAAACAAGGAAATGTGAGACATCCTCGTCCTTGAGACATCATCCATACCTGGACGCCGGGGTATTGCAAGTTCGTTTTCATGCTCTTGCAAATCGCTGGGATGCCACCCGCATGTGCGATGATCTTGCGGTTTGCTACGCACAAGGAGGCCAAATTTCCCAGAGCGAGGCCACCCTGAGTGCCTGAGTGGGTGGGATGTGCATGCATGCCAGCAATGATGGGAGGAATCCCTCCAGATCGACCGATTCTCGCTTGATTGCTTTCGTTACTCCATGCCAAATCTCCAAGAGCGAGGCCACATTGTTGCTGAACCGATGCCTTACTCACATGCATAGTCATTCCATTGATGATAGCCTCGATGCCACCTTCTTGAGCAATTCTGTTCTGATTATCGGCATTGCCCCATACAAGCTTCCTTATGCAGCCGCAGGCCTCCTCAACTATTCCAGCATGACCTGGATAATTTCTGAGTGCGTCAACAATCAATCGAGGTGCTCGAGAAGCCGCAATCTTCTTTTTGTTGGCCTCATTCAATGACAAATTTTTCAGAGCCCAGCAGCAGTACTGCAAGCAAAGCTGATGATTGGAATGTTTCTCCATGGCGGCAATAATGGGAGTGATGCCGTCAAGTTGTGCAATTTTCACCTGGTTATCTTCCTGACAAGCAAAGTTCCCAATAGCCAGAGCGCACTTTTGTTGGCAACCCGCATTCTCAGCAAACCTGTTCATCGCTGCAATCGTTACTTGGATTCCACCGCATTGTCCAATCCGCTGTTGAACCGCGATGTTACTCCATGCCAGATCCCCCAACGCCAGAGCTCCTTGCTGTGACACATTCAACCTGGAAGGGTGAGCCTTCATACCGGCAACAATGGCCTCAATGCCTCCTTCGGCTGCGATCTTGTTCTGGTGCTCAGCATTTCCCCAAGCAAGTTTACCAAGTGTCTGACAGGCCTCATCGACTATCCCAGAGTGACCGGGATTTGCTTTTAAAGCCTTGATCACTGGCCGGTGTCCGTTCAGCCTAATAATCTTAACTTTGTTATCAGCATTCAAGCAAAGGTTCTTCAATGCCCAACAGCAGTACTGAATACACAAGGGGTGTTGGGGATGCTCCGTCAACGCTTGCAGAATCAATTGAATTCCATTAAGCAAGGAAATTTTCACTTGATTTTGGGAATGGCACGCAAGGTTTCCCAGTGCTAGTGTACATTTTTGCATGCAACCTCCACTTCGGACGTGCGTTTGCGTAGCTCGGATGATTTCTTCTACTCCACCAAGTTCAGAAATACGCAATTGAATAGCTGAATTGCTCCAAGCTAAGTTACCCAACGCGGAGCAACCCATCTCTTGAACATCAACATTGTCTCTGTGCGCACACATACCAGCAATGACGGCCTCGATTCCTCCAGCGGCTGCAACAGAATTCTGTTCATCGCTCTTGCCCCACACCAAGTTACGAATCACTTGCATTCCTTCAACTTGCACACGAGCATCATGCACACAAGTCTGTAACGCTGCCACAATTTGTTCCGGTTCACCTTTTTCTTTGTTTCGTGCAAGAATAGCAAGCGCGTTCTCAATGTCCGCTGAGCTGTAGCCAAAGGATACATTTTGCATACCGTTTACATTGTCGATTCCGCTCACACCAACAGGACCTGAGCTGTTGTTAAATGCTGATGCTCCAGGAATATCTCTCGGCTGGATCCGGTTGGGTGGATTCTGAATTTTCTCTATTTCCTTTCTGAGTTTCTTTACTTGAATCGCGGTCAGTTGCAAGTCTGATCCTTTGAGATCTTCGTCAGAAAAATCCAACAAGTCTTTGCCACACACGCCGTTTTCAAGAAATCTTTCAATCTTCTCCGCGGGAATGAACAGCCTTGCCAGCATCTGACAGACATCATCTGGTTGCATGTTTTCAACACTGACTATGTTGCTTTCGTCATTGTTGTTTACTCCTTCGTGCGAGGCGCTATTTGATTTGATTTCTTTTTCAATTCTGGACATGAGCTCTCGCAGCTTGTTGTTGTAGGTTCTTGAATCTGCCAAGTCCAGTATGAAAAGCTTGCTGAGATGAGGAGCGATTGCATGCTTTGGCGGGATATGTTCTTTGCCCTCAGCACTCAGTGGCAGAGGGCCAACCTTACATCAACCATGTAAATAAATACTCTCTCAATCAAAAACATGTACCTTAATAGGTATCACCGGCTTGCCCCAGTAGTTTGCAAGTGTGATTTCTTTCTGCGCAATTGGACTTTCCAGGTAGCTTTGCGAGAGACAGCAAACAAAGACATGGCAAGAGTCAATTGCTTGTGCCGAATCCAAGTGTAGTACATCCTTGTTTGGGCCTGAAAGTATATTCGTCAAAAACAAGATTGAAGGTAACAGCAGACGTATCGGTAGCAGGTAAACTATACCGCTTGGAGCTTTGTCTCGGTCATCCCACCATGCAAGATAGCCATTCTTTTCAATGTGTGCTTTGGTGGGTCTTACTTTATCAGAATCAGCGAATGAGCATGAAACAAAAATATCTTTCGAACAAAAAGGAGTTAAATACGACAGACATATCCTTTGTAAGAAGCACCTGCAGTATTGCTCATGATTTTTGAACTGATTCGAAAAACCTTCTCGATCTAGAAAACCATGTCAAAGATATTCTTTCTATGGCAAGTTGTCCAGAAAATTTGAGACATTGTAACGTCACCTAATCCTTCCGCAAGATTAATGGCAGAGGAAAAAATCAGAATTCCTCATCGCTGCGAACAACCGTAGTAAGTGAAAGCCGTCAGAAGCTGCTCAATCTTGCCTTCTGGTTGGGAGATGATGGTATCCATCTTGTTATCAAACTTTGCATCTTGTTGCTATGAAGCCATTGTTGTCACCACCAGTCCCTAACCAAAACAATAAGTTATGAACAGTCAGTTACGAATGTTCCCTTGGTTTCCCCTTTTTCCTAACTGTCTTTTTACAACTCGAATCTGTTCATCCGATCATTCATTCTGTCAGACTCTCTATTCTCTCTCTCTGTTGACTTCCTAGCAAGAAGCTTCAAACAACTTATGCCTTTCTTCCTTCGTCACGTTGCTGTCTTATTGCATCTCTAGCCTCGCAAAAGATCCTTTGAAGAACCTCAGAAAACATCCCCGTCAGGCACTCCCTTTCTATCCACTCTTCTACCTTCTTGCAGATTCTCATTCCTTCCTTCCTTCTCCCTCCTCCGCTTCCTCCTCCCATCCGCTCCTCCTTCCCTCTCAGCATCTGGCCTTCACAACTTGAACCACCCCACCCCCTCTGTCTTTCCTCATATAACCCACCCTACCCCATCGAAGTTACTTCATAACACACCGGTCAGATTTATCAACCACCCCATTGTCTAGCAATAGAATTTTCCCACCCCACCCCCGTGTACAACCGAACTGCTCCGAATAAAATTTCAAATATTCGTATACACTTCAAATATCAAGCAACCATTTCAGATCTACCCTTTGGAAATCAATCTGCTCGGCCTGAGAAAACATGTTCAAAATTACTTGACAATTTTCATTGTTATTTTAATTGTTTTACAGTAATTTCTTGATACATTTTGAAATCAGAAAATACCAGTTACATTTGAAATTTGGCAAGAAGTTTTCAACCAACTTTCAAGTCTGTGGACATGCAGGACGTGGAAGGGGAGGTTGGAGGAGGAGGAGGAGGAGGAGGGTTGTTAGTGGATGTCGAGAAGGACTTGGATCTTTCATGAGAGCCTTGCTTCATAGCTAGCGAGTGATTCGTAAAGTCAGGAAGCAGGAGGGGAGCAGAGCAGAGCCGTTGAAGAACGCTATCTTTTGAGCTAGGGGGAGGCTGAGGTCTGACGAAGTGTATGATGGGAATATTCGGCTTCTTCGCCAACTCTGACATCTAGCTGTTGCTCCTTTCCAGGTTTCAATGTCAAGCTTGGAGCTCTCTGATCAGTCAGCGCACTCGCCATATGCATCAGCCGATGTGTCGGCATCCGACCTTTCCCCTTGCTCCTTCTCATGTTGGCTGCAATGCGCTCGAGATGCATCACGCAGAGAGTCTCATCAAGTCTGGTCAAGTTCCTGTCCTCAAGGGTGTGCACACGGGTTCGCACAAACTCTGTATCCACAACAGGCAGAAGAGCGAGTGCCGGGAGTGCGGGGGCTCGCAGATCTGTCCGCACAACAGGAGGAAACGGCAGTGTAAGGACTGCGTGGGGTCTCAGATCTGTCAGCACATGAGGAGGAAGAGCAGGTGCAGAGACTGCAACGGATCTCAAATATGCCAACATCAGCGGATTCGGAGCACCTGCAAGGAGTGTCGGGGGTCTCAAATTTGCCCGCACAACCGCATCAGGAGCCAGTGCAGGGACTGCGGAGGGTCACAGATATGTCCGCACGATCGTCGTCGGCGACAGTGCAAGGAGTGCGGAGGATCTCAAATTTGTCAGCACAACAAGAGGAGGAGCAGGTGTGTGGAGTGTGGGGGGTCAGAGACGAAGGGGGTGAAGGACCGCATGGCTAGACAGGCACGAAAAGTGTTGGATGAGGTAGGGATGGTCGACATGCATGAAGGAGTTGACGTCAGGCTCGATGATGCGAAACTTTGTGGGGTATCCGATGATTGTGCAAGAGATCTGGATGACGATCGCTTCAAGGACGACAAGCAGAAAGATGTCTCAGGCATGCTGATTCACAAGTCAGAGATGCACGTCCCACATTCCAACGACGAGTCTCTTGATCGAGACGCTGTCTCCCATGTGGACCTGTGACAGCAGAGGATCCCTGGTCCTCTATAAACAGGATACGAACCCCTACGACGATCTGTCGGATAGTGTTTGGGGCTGTGCCATGATGTAATCTGAACACCTTGACCAGGGCGAGCCCATCGACTGCGCTAGATGAAGGTGTTGACACGACAGACCATGTCTGTGGAGTTCTTTGAGCTTCTTATGAGGATTGCGATTCATCGCTCATCCCAGACGAAGTGAGCAGGGAACAGTAGGAGGGCAGAGGAGAGTTTGTTCGGGAGGGAGATAAGTAAAGGGAGGTGGTATCGGGCAAGCTGCAAGGGCCCTGTCGGTAACAATTGATTGACTTCATTCCAATTAAGAGAGATTGACATGTGGCGATTGCTTGGGTGAGCTGTAGATCATCTTGGCTGCTCAATATCAGAACAAGACGCGAACAGAGGGAAGTGGAACCAGCGATGGAGATGTGGTCCGAGGGGTACCGAGGAGAAGGAAGAAACGGTGCTTTCATGAGCTCGTCCGGAGGAGGGAGGAGTCGGGCCACCTGTTGGGAGTCAGCTCAGCGTCTCCTGCACCCCTCCAACTCCTCCACCGGCTCGAAACCATCGGACATGAAGATGTAGTCAATGTTCTGCCTGTGCTGTAGGAAAGAGTCAGAATGGAGATGGGCGACGGAATGAGGGAGAAGGGAGGGATTAGGGATGGGAGCAAAGGATGGGGGAGGGAGAAGGGAATAGAAATTACCTGGGATGTCCCGCGCACCTTCCATGTTGTGTACTCTGTGTCAGTGCGGTCGAAGGCAGAGGGAGGAAGCGGATCATTGAGGTTCGTCTCGTCTACCCCAGAAGGCAACATGACGGG